GCTGCTGTGCACAGTGGGGGACTGCTGGGCGTGGCTACATGGAAATCCCTTCTGGTATTGACATCCTATCATTGTGTCTTCTCCTGATGATATTTACTGCTGCATCCCAAAATGCTTTAGAAATTTGGATATACAAAGGAAGCTGTAGAAATGCAAATCGTCCCCCTCCTGCTCCAGCTGATGTCTTTGCTGATGGCTGGAGGCACCTGCTCATTGAGCACAAACTGCTGTGCTTTGCTTTTAGGCAGTTTGTTTTTATAAGGGAAGTGCCTGTGCTAAAAAGTGTTTCGCGCTTTTTTTTATTTCAGTCAACTAAAAAGCTTCTTCCTGTACCTGCCAACCTCTAAATCCAAGAATGTTCCCTTCACAAATAAATGATTTTAAAACAGCTCCTTGAACCAGAATATTTTATGTTACCAGGAGTTTTGAAGTTTCAGGTTCTAAACCTCTTCACCTTTACTGTTTAAGCTGATAGGTTAACCTAATTGCTAAAGATGATTCATTTGACAAACATGTATGTGTAAGATATATATTGATTTAGATTCTTTTTATTTTGACAAACACTTCCAATGTTCTGGGCTTCCCAGGGGCTCACAAAGAAAGGGGAAACTCATTCCTGCTTTTGTGGTGACTCTTTCTTTAGGGGCCCTAAAAGCAACAGAAGTATTAGGTTGAACCATATGGCATAAAACTATCAGCAATTTCATGTGGTCCAACGTAAGAATGTCAAACATGAGAAGCACGATATGGAAACTGAAATGTAAGTATTACAAGATTTTAAAGGTGGAGAAAACACATCTGAGTAGAAGTCACCAAGACTTTGTGGATGAATTGAAACTGGAGTAGGATTCCATAGATGGAGAATGAGCATGGAGTGTGCTTTCTGGAAAGCATGGGTCCCTGTTCTTCTAGAAGCTAGAAGAGATGTTGAAGACTAGGCAGGAAGGGAGCTTAAAGCTGTATCTTGTAGAGGTTTTATGCATGGAAATAGGGTGCTGTCGAGGGAAATGGGAGTCTGGAGATCCAGTCTGGTTGTAGGAAGGATGAGGAACTTAACCTGCATGATAAGTAGATGCCAAGGGAAATCTATATGGGGATGTCTAGCAGGCGTTTGAGAACTTAGCTGTGACGCTTAGGGGCTCACTTCATATTTAAGGACGAGCTACCTAGAGCTAAATATTACAGCTATTGGGTTAGATGTGACTGCCCAAGGGGCAGAGGACAGAGGCATGAGCAGGTCTTTTAGGCAGCGAGGGGAGAAGCCAGTAAAGGAGGCATCATCCATCCAACTGATGTGTTGGAGGATATTTTGGAAAAGAAAATTACTGGTAAAGAAGTATACCTGCTGTGAAAAGATGGGGGAGGATGAGAGGAAAAGAGCCTTTGGACTTAATGACCATAGTGATGACTCCAGTCCAGGGTTGCGGTTGGTGAAAGCCAGAGCGTTGGGTTCAGCGTGAGCTGTGGACTATAATGAGGAGGCTCAGCTTGTCAGCGAAGTTATATTATCTTCATTTCTAAGTGCATGGATTATACTATAGAGTGTTTATATCATAACTCTCAAGTATTTAGGGAATACCTAGTTTTAATACTAGAAATTAAGGCAAAACAATTTTTTTAAATGTATCTTACATATTTAGACAATGTGGCCTCTCTGTATTTCAGTTTGCTCGTTTGTAAAGTGGGAATAATACTAGTACCTATCTCATTGGAATTTCGTGAGGACTAAATTAGTTAATTTATGTAAAGCTCTTAGAACAGAGTGCGACATAGAGTAAACACTATGTAAATGTTAGCATTTATTAGCATCCTCATCACTGTGAATATCATCACCATTATTAGGGACAACTGCAGAATCTAAGAGATCACTTTAAATAATACAAGACTACTTTCCATCATGAATTATGATGAGGATATCTGCAATAAATTAAAGAGTTAAGGAATGACAATAGGATACATATTTGACTGGGGCAAATATATCTGTATATATTTGTGTGTGTGTGTGTGTGTGTGTGTGTGTGAATGTATATGTATGTAGTATTTATACATTTTAAGTAAAATGTATACTTTTAGTTAAATTAAATTTTAGTTTAGTTAATTAAAAAGAACTCTCTAGAGTTTGTAAATGAATTTTTGACCCTTACATGTACAGGTTTTACTTACCTTAAGAATAGTGGAATTTGAGTGGCGCCTGGGTGGCTCATTTGGTTAAGCATGTGACTCTTGATTTCAGCTCAGGTCATGATCTCAGGGTCATGAGATTGAGCCCTGCCTCAGACTCCACACTGGGTGTAGAGCCTGCTTGAGATTCTCCCTCCCTCTCCTCTGCCCCCCACCTGGCATGTACTTGCGTGCGCTCTCTCTCCACAAAAAAAAAAAAAAAGAATAGAATTTGAATTTAGCAAGCTTAAAAAGACTTTACACTTTCTCTTGACAATTGTAGTAAAAATAGAAACCTATAGGGGCGCCTGAGTGGCTCAGTCATTAAGCATCTGCCTTCGGCTCAGGTTATGATCCTAGGGCCTCCTGGGATCGAGCCCCACATCAGGTTCTCTGTTCTGCGGAAAGCCTGCTTCTCCCTCTCCTATTCCCCCTGCTTGTGTTCCCTCTCTCTTTCAAATAAATAAATAAAATCTTCAAAAAAAAAAAAAATAGAAACCTATAGCCATAGTGTTCAGCAAAGATTCCTAGATTCATCATGGTATTATTGCTTTTAAAATATATTTTTGTAAAGTGATTATTTGCCACATACTATGTTTGTTATAAGCAAACTGTAAAGAGTTGTTACAGTTTTTCCTACTTCATAAACAATATTTCTGTGCATGCTTTTATTATTTTCCTTATACCTACAAGTATGCGATATAAAACTAATCTTTGACTTCGTATGCATAGTTGCTTGGTATTTTTCTTTAGAAGGATTTCTTGTCAGCTCTTGCAACAGAGTATTCAGGTCCCATTCAAATGATATGTCTCTCATTTTCCTAATCCCAAATCTAACATGCTCCATATCAAAAATCTCTGAAATCACCTGTATATGATTTTGAATTTATTATTCAAAATTATACATGGAAAATAATATTCTAAAGTAGTTGTACAATTCAAAATGTATGAACTGTGTCATTAGATTAACTTACAATGACAGGGACTTGAGAATTTATCTAAGATTTTGTTTGAGCAGAATTCATTGTATTCACATGAGCTGTATTAATATCATTAGTATCAATATAGGTTTATTGGCCAGTGTATTAGAGTTCTCCAAAGAAACAGACCAGTAGGATGGATTAATCCATCCATCCCTCCATCCATCCATCCATTCATCCAGCCATCATTTTTTTAATCTAT